CTTAAACTTCCCACACTCCTGTTGAGGGCTAAGGGAATGCTTATCTCCTTGAGCGCAGCCTTCTTCCAACCATTCCTTCACAAGGACTGGTGCATCTCTGGGCTTGAGGGAAGGGCCCGTTGGCTGCACTCACCTTGATCCTCCTGCGAGGCATCATTGTAGTTGACCTGCTTCCGGATTCTCTTCCCCTTGCCAAGGTTGCGGGCAAGGTCTTCCTGCTGCTGCTCGTAATGGTGCCTCAACAGCTTCTCCCAATAGTCAGGATCCACGTTCTCCTCCTGCTTGATGATTTCACGTTCCACCTCTTCCTGAAAACCCAGGAGAGAAGCAGCAGTTGAACCCGGGACGTCTCTCCGTCTGGAGCTCCCGGGTGAGAGAAATGATACCCCAGGCGTCTGAGGACAGCTTGTCCTCCACCACTGGATAGATCACCACGGAAGGTGGTAAAATCTTCATGCGTTTCCAGAAATTGGACAGAGAGCTCAAGAGACACTTTGCTCTTTTCGCCCAAGAAAAATGAAACTGAGAATCAACCCTCTGCGGAGAAGCTGTATGGGTAGTCCTCATTTAGCAACCACAATTGGGACCAGCAACTCAGTCATTAAGCGAAGCGGTCAAGTGAAGAGTGAAACACTTTTCACCCCCTCTAAATCTGTGAAGAGTCACTAAATTTGTTTAAACTTCTTGTGGTGAAGATTGGAAGTAACTTCTTTACATATTTCTTTTCTCCTTCTTTATTAGATTCTTACTTTTTCTTTTTTCCTTTTTCCTTACACTTTTTACTCCTTCTTTCTATTCTCTTTTCTGTCTTTAAGTTTAGTTTGTATTAGGTTTTACTATTATAGTCAAAATTCTTAATAAAAATTATATATTTATATATATATATATAAAAACTACAGCCCCAAGGACATCCACTAGGAAGGCGTTGGTCATAAAAGTCAAGATGGAGACCTGAAGCCCTGCCCTTTTTAACATAGGGACAAAGAGGATGGAGCTTTGCACACCCAGTCACAGCTGCCATTTTGACTTTCTAATCTCCACCCTGCCCAGGCAGTCAAGTTTAAAAAATAATGAATGATTATTAGTCTTCAAACAAGGGGACGGATTCAGAAGAAACCAAAAGAAATCCATGATCTTGGGCACATTACCACACCGTCCTCTTCTCTCACAACATACTGGGCGACTTTAAAAGAGCTGAGATATTCGTTCATATTCTGCAGCTCCGTGTCATCGGTGGCATCTTGGTTGCGGTCCAAGAGCTTAGAAATGGCTGCATCATCGTAATGGATCACACTGCTATCCTCGACATCTTTGCTATCTCCTAGGAGAGAAAGAAGGAAAGCCAAGGGTTAAGAGCCCACCTCCTCTTTTTGGACAAACTTGCCACCCATGGTTTGGGCTTGTCCTACCATTGCTATCATTTGACCTAAAATTCAAAGGACGACCAACGCAATTTTAGACCTATTGTTGCTTGTTATGGAAGTGTGTTTTCTATGGCAACCTCCCCAGTCTTTGGACTGACATAGCATCCAGGATCCTGTGCCTTTCAGGCATGGAGATTATTAGACAACATTAGAACGAAAAATGAACCCTCACTCGTATCAGTGGATTGTTGCTATCTGCTAAAACAAAACAAAAACAAGGAGGTTGTGTGACACTTCAATCCTTTCTTCTGACGGATACTCTACGCTAAAATGACGTGTGCTGCGCAAATCCACCCAACTTGGTCTTTTCTTGACCTGGTTCAGTGTGTTGTGTGAACCTGAATAAACCGGGGAGGAAGACAGGGGACTGATGGGTGGGGTGCCCATCTGGCCAAAGGTCTTCTCCCCATTGAAAGCCACCAATAATGGGTAGGTATCATTAGTGCTCTTGGCCCATCACGTACCTGGTGGAGGGCCTCCATGTTTCTTCTTCAGGTTGGTGGTCCCGGCACCCCCTTTGAAGGGTGAACCATCTGGGAATGGGGTCACAGCTTCGGGCAGGCCAATCCGCTGGGCCTGAGAGGTCATGCCTGGAAGAGAGGCCGGAGGTATGGAGAGAGGGACACCCATTGATGAAGGCGTGGGCCAAGACCACAAGCCAGCCCCTAACTTGTCTCACGTGAAACGACCTGAAGCAGAGGTGGGAGATATGGTGGCTCTGCAGATGTTGTGGGGCAACAAGGGCACTGTTGATGTTACCTAGTCAGGTAATGAAATGTCTGCAAGCAAACAACCAAGCTCAGGGAGCACTAAGGACTCCACGACTCAACAAGATCCAGAGTGCCACTGGTTCCCTACTATACTGATCAAAGATGGTTTCCTGGCATCCTCCTTCCCTTCAGGGAATCCCTTTGATATCGTATTTAATTTGCAGTGGGGCAATTCCCCGTACGTTCTCTTGGCCATTTGTTTTAAAAATTCTGGGCATATTTGCAAAAATGAAAAACTGGGTAAAAACAGCGGAAATATTTACAAGAACTGGTGACCAGTTCTCACTCCTGCTCTCCTGCCCACCACAGAACCTCATCCTCTCACCTTCGGTGTCATCCTTAAAGAGTTCCTCTGTGCCGAACTTCAGGATGTCGTCCAGTTCTTGCTTGGTCATAGACCCAGACTTGGAGCCGAGGCCAGGCCGCACGACCAGGTGCGTCAGCATCATCTTCCGCTTGGCCACCTGGGTGATGCGCTCTTCTACGGAGGCCCGGGTCACGAAGCGGTAGATCATCACTTTCTTGTTCTGCCCAATTCGGTGAGCTCGGCTGAAGGCCTGCAAAGCCCAGGAACGTCAGAGCGATGGGCCGAAACAACATCTCACCCTCGCCAGATGCCCCCCTTCTCCTTCCCTTCAGGGAACCCCTTTGATATTGTATTTAATTTGCAGTGGGGCAATTCCCCGTACGTTCTCTTGGCCATTTGTTTTAAAAATTCTGGGCATATTTGCAAAAAGAAAAACTGGGTAAAAACAGCGGAAATATTTACAAAAATCAGAACGTGCATAAACAAGTAAAGCCTCCCTTGAGTTGAACTGAAGTGAAAGCAACATCATGAACCCATCCATAAAGTTTTCCTGGGAGTAATACAAAAGTGTGCCATGGGGTTCACCTGAGATGTATTTTTTAACTTCCCAGTCTAGCCTACAGACTTGAGATATCCTCGTGGTCTCCCATCCAAACACTTAACCACATACTACCCTGCACAGCTTTGTAAAATCAACTAAAGTGGGCTAAAAACTGGGAGACCCAACAGAGTGATTGACTCATCCTATGAAAATTCTCATAAAGATCCTTCTCTTTCTGCTTAGGATGGCTTGGGCACTTTACATGATGTGGCATTTTTCTTATGCTTGGCTAGATTTCTTTCTTTGTAGTCCCGTTTATGGTCACAAAGTTACTTTTTCACCACCGTTGTAACTGTGAACAGTCACTAAACGAGGCAGTGGCTAAATGAGGACTATCTGTACAGTTAAAACAAGCTTAAACTCTGCTATAAAAGAATGGTTTGTTTTCTATCTTCACCAGAAACAGGCAAATGAATTTGGGCCTTTTATTTTTATATGGAACAAACCAGTTATACATCCCCATACACACAACACACATATATAAAATTAAAAGGGATTTTAAACAGCAGCAAGCCGATGCTTCATCGGCCCCATCAACGCAGCCACATTCAAAGCAAGGAAGTTAAAAAGCCACTGGACTTTGCATGTTTTTATTTTAAAGAAAAAGGCGGAAGAAGAAAGAACGATTGCATGCAACATGTTTGTTCGGGAGGAAAAGGGGGAGCAGACTTGGGGGAAAAAATCATGCATTCCTTGGGAGAATCAGCAGTTATTTATTTTTTTCAAGGAGGGGGCTTTCGACAGACCTCAACAAATGTGCTAACCTGGTGAAGGGAAGAACAGAAACCCGGAGAAGGGGGAAAAGAGGAAGAATTTCATTCTAGGAAAAGCAAGTGAAAGCAAAAGAATTAACCTGGATGTCATTATGGGGGTTCCAATCCGAGTCGTAAATAATGACCGTGTCTGCTGTCGCCAGGTTGATGCCCAAGCCGCCGGCCCGGGTGGAAAGCAGGAAACAAAACTGCTGAGCTCCGGGGGCTGAGAGCAAGAGGCATGGAGACAGGAAGAGGATCAGGGTTAGTCGGACTAGTGTGGAGGTGCCAAAGATACCCTGACTTGGGGGAAGAAACCAAGATCGATTAGTGGGAGATGGAAGGTGGTTAAAGCCACAGGCAAGAAGGAAAGACAGAAACTCCCCCAGCTGCAATGGTATGTGAGAAACACCTTGGGAGGCAGGGCCAAGAGATGCTGCCTAGGGAATGGTCAGATAAGAGAGGGCACAGCCCACAGCTGCATAATGGGCGGAGAGAAAAGAAGGGACTTTCCCTAGTTTCTCAGGCTGTAAAGGAGACGGGGGAGGATTGTACTTTCAGACTTGCAAGATTCTGTTAAAGCAGCCTTACAATAAAGTAGAATTAGCTCGTTTGGTCATGTTTCCTGTCTGGTTTGCTCCAGCGAAGCCAACATCAACTTTGCAAGTCTGAAAGTACTTCAGAGATTCCCTCATGCGGGCACCAAACGAAAGTACCGTTAAATCTGTCGATGGATTCCTGCCTCAACCCTCCGGTGATTCCGCCATCGATCCGCTCGTACTTGTACCCCTCGTATTCCAAAAAATCTTCCAGCAAGTCAAGCATTTTTGTCATCTAGCAGAGGGGGGAAAAAGACTAAGAATTAGGGCACCCTCAGTGATGAGGAAAAAACAACAACCGAGGCTCCTTGAAGGCTAAAGGACTGAGTTAGGGAAAAGGGTTCCTGTTGCAACTCTGTAAGAGAACAGATGGTCTCCCTCTCTCTGTCTTCTCTTGCCCACATTGCAACTGGATCACTTACAAAGGTACTGATCTTCGGCAAAGGTGCCTGTTGCATCTCTGCATGATTCCCTACCCTCTGTCTCTCTGAATCCCTGTTCTGACTGACAGAGAAATACAGGGGCAGACTCCTCTGAGAAAGGACAGCTGTTACACTCCACTTACAAGGGAGCCAACAGCACAAAGTGGATTTATCTTTATCTTTTTCCCTGTAAAAAAACACCATTCGGTATGTTCCTGCCATCTTGGGGAATGCTGGGAGCAAGTTTGGCTCACCTCTTGGTGCTCTTCAATTAGTCTCAAGTTTTACACACCCTCAAAAGATAATTATTCTGCTATTTCCCCACAATGCTTCCTTTTTGGTTTTCACATCCACCCTCTTGCAAGTTAGCAGTTCATGTTCTGTGGGCCCCCCCTTACAAGTCCAGGCCCTGCACACCTGGGAGAAGATGAGCACCCGGTGACCCCCGTGATGCAGCTTCTTCAGCATCTTCTGCAGCAGCATGAGCTTCCCTGAAGATTTCACCAACGAGCTGCCATCGTAGGACCCGTTGGGCAAGACAGGGGCTTCCTGGGGAGGATAAAACAGGCTTAACATCCACGTGATTCGCTTAATGACTGCAGTAATTTGCTTAATGACCGTTGTAAAAGAGGTCGTAAAATCAGCTCCGATTCACTTAACAACCAAATTGCTTAGTGACCTAAATTCCGATCTCTATTGTGATCGGATAGTGAGACTACCTGTAAGACCACTGATAGTCCCTAGAGAAACTACAGGTTCCCAGGGATGGGTACCACACATAAAAAACATACATTTTTCACCAGGTTTCAACTGTCAATAAAGTGTAAGCCATGTACACTTTAAACAGCCCACATTTTGTGAGATTTCCAGCCACGTCCCCTGCTGTCTTCAAAATACAGCTGGCTCAGAAGTATACATACCAGTAGAGCATCCACAGAAATTAAAGATTTAATTTAAAGATTTAACACTCTGGGATTAAAGCTGAAAAACAGACACTTCAGAAGAGGGAGCTTTGTGCCACGTTAATGCCAAACATTCACCCGGATGCATGAATTGCGCCGAGAAAACGAACTTTAGGAATCACGCTAAGCAGGATCTTTCAGCCAACTCTGCAGCTGCCGAAGTTTGAAATGGTGTCCCAGGGAAGTTACCCCCCCAAACCCATTGCTGCTCCTAACTCAGACCTTCCCAGCACCCCGCGCCAAAGAACAAGTTGAATACAGAAACTGTGCGTCTGACTGTCCATCACAAAGGCACCTCCCAAACGCAAGCCAGTGACGGACGGGATGCTCTTCCCCTGGATGGATGACCTCCACGCGCCCAGAGTAAGTTTCCACCAGATTCCAATGAGAAATAAACACAGACTAGGAAAACAGACCTACCACAGCTGCCACAGGGAACAGATAAGGATGGTTGCAACATTTCTTCAAATCCATCATGATGTTCAGCAAGGAAACCTGGTTGCCACCCCCTTTGGAATTCAACGCCTCAAAATTCTTGGTCAGGATTAATTTATAGTACTTCCTGCACAGAGACAAGGGAGAAAAGTCCATCCAATGGGGGCTCTGGAAAAATGGAATCCAAAATAATAACGGGCAGCCTAGAAACACACAAGTAGATTTTTGCTTTTCTGCTGCCCCCCAACTGTAGTTTCCCACTCAACCAAGGGGGATGTTTCCACTGTACAGCTCACCTCCATAAGGGGAGAGCTTTGCTGGTGTTCCTGGAAGGAAGGCTCACTTTCTTCCCACAAGGGGAAAAGAGGTGCAAAATCAGCATTGGGGAAAAACGTAAGAGAAAAATGATCGCATCACTTGCATCCATCCAGGGAAAGTGAAATAGGCTTGCAGAATTTATTTCAAGAGGGGTGACCTGCCTGGCACCCTTCTCCTGAGGACTAGAACTGAAAGTGAAAGTGAAACCAACCACAGGAAGCCAGAGGTGAAAGTGAACCCCAAAGTTAGAAAGTGAAACCAAAAGTGAAATTACATTGAAAGTAAAAGCCAGCCCAGGATTCTCTCTTTTCTGTGCTATGGGGAAGGATAGTCCCTGGAATAGCGAAAGGAACAAGGAAGGGGATCAATTTCCAGGACCATACATTCACCTTGAAGACACCTGTTCTATCAACTCTTCCAGGGGTGGACAATCATTTACGGTCCATGAACCACACATCCTCTACATTTGTGGCCCTCAAGTCCTCTTAGCATTCTTTGGTTGAGGGAACATCTCTGAAAATCAGCTCCCAACCAACTCATCTCCAGAGCAGGAAAAGAATTAAAAGAAGATAAAAGGGGATATTTGTGGCCCCTCAGCTCTGAAAAGCATACAAATGGAGGATGGGAACATCCTAGCCTCCAGTTCTTGGGACTTTGGGGACTTTTACACCAACTGGCCAGCTTTTTTGGCTTCTCCTGCCCTGCAAAGGAAGACTCACTTTTGCATCTGGCTTAGCTCCACCCGGACAATCAGCTCCGTCTTGGCTGGCATGTTTTTGAACACGTCGGCTTTCAGTCGACGTAGCATGTGAGGCCCCAGAAGGTCGTGGAGTTTTTTAATCTGGTCTTCCTTGGAGATGTCAGCAAACTCTTCCAGAAATCCTTCCAGGTTGCTGTTGGAGCAAGAATGGGGGAGAGGTCACCCCCTGCTTTTTTCAAGCAGCATATTCATTCATTCATTCATTCATTCATTCATGGGCCCCCCAACTCCCAATGGGTTTTTTAATCAGCGTTGGGGGTTTGCTGAGATAATCTCACAAGTACTGGAGCCACACAGGTGGTCAACCCAGCTTTGAAAAAGCCACAGGACTGGGAATAGATGACTTGCTGTGCCCAAACAAACCACAGTTTGGCTTAACACCATGGCCTGGCTCACACGTCATCAGGTCCATGGTTGAACATCCTCAATGCATGATCAAATGCCCAATCTCATTTAGAATATTAAGCAAATGCAATCAAAGTTTTCCCAGCCTTTAGGAAACCAGGGGTATCCACAGGAGGGGTCAAAAAAGTCAAGATGGTGGCCATGACATGTGATTGAAGCTCTACCTTTTTATATACATTGTCTAAAAAGGGGTGGGATATCAATCACACAGTCAGAGCTGCCATCTTGATTTTTTTGAATCCCCTTGCCCATATGCATGCTGGAAAGAGTCCTTTTTTGACCCAATGTGTTCCAAATCTTCCAAATTTATAAACAACTTTAACTATTTACAGTTGTTTGTCTTGAACATCAGTGAAGAACATTCATTGGTGAACAAGAACAGACCAACCAATCTAAGGGGATTGTTTTTCCCCTTATTCTCCCACTGATTTTCTCCCTGGGGAGGTGGTAGCGTGGTACAAAAATATCCCAAAGGGAGCTCACTTGAACCTCTCCGGTGTGAGGAAGTTGAGCAGATGAAATAGCTCCTCCAAGTTGTTCTGCAAGGGAGTCCCCGTCAGCAGCAGCTTGTAGTCAATTTTGTAGCTGTTGAGGACCCTGAAAAACTTTGCAGAGGGAAGAAATTGGGTCGGAAAGGTAGAGAATTCTCCAGGGGAGGGGGGACTACTTCCCAATCCTGTTTGGATTGTTCTAAACCAGTGTTTTTCAGACTTGGCCACTTGAAGATGTGTGGACTTCAACTCCCAGAATTCCCCAGCCAGGACGTTTTCCTTCTGTTTTCTTCTAAATCCTTCTGTTTTAGGATTCTATAAAGGTGCCTACCTTGGACTGGTTATTTTTCAGCCGGTGGGCTTCATCAACCACCAGACAGGCCCACTCGAGGGATCCCAAAACAGCCTGGTCAATTGTAATGAGTTCGTAGGACGTCAGCAAGACGTGGAATTTGATCTGGGCTTCTTTCTATAGGAGACAGGGTGACAATCTTATTGGCAGGACAGCTCTGGTCTCCCGCTAGGAGAAGGCATAAGGTTCAATTTTATGCACTTTTTAAAAATATCTTTATGAACCCCTAGAAGTGATTTATGAGGCGGGGGACCTTCTCTTTCCCTGTCTGGAACAACAGGGTAGAAACCAGCAGGATGGATTGCAAGGGGGGACCGATGCAAAATCCTCCACTTGAAAAAAATGAAAGGCCTGAGACAAGGGGGGGGACCATACCCATAAGCATTTTGCAGGGTGATGTCATGATGGACCTGCCCCCTGTGTTCTCCAGCTGATGGCTCCCTTCCTTCATATATCTGCCCCATTACCTATAATGGCATGTGGGAATAACCTTGGGAAATGGGGGTAAGAGATGCTGCCTAGGGAACAATCAGATAAGAGGGGGTATAGCCCACAGCTGCATAATGGGCAGAGAGAGAAACTCAGAAAGGATCCTCCCTAACTTTTCAGGCTATAAAAGAGACGGTGGGAGATTTGTCCTTTCAGACTTGCAAGATTCTGTTAATGTAGCCTTACAATAAAGTAGAATTAGCTCATCTGGTCGTGTTTCCTGTCTGTTTACCTGGGAAGGCTGACAGTATTTATAACCGTCCAGAGTTGCTGGGAGTCAGGTGGCATATAAATTTAATAAATAAACAAATTGCAATAAGTTTGAAGTTCAGCCTTGGGAATAAAAGCAAACACCACCCGAGCTGTGAGTTGCCCAATTCTCCACTCAGGTTTACCTTCATCCGGAAAACTTTTTTCCCAGTCCGAATAGCGTTGTCCTCAAAGGAGAACTCGTTCTCGCGAATCACAGACCGGCTCTCCTTGTCCCCGGTGTAGGTGACCACGTAGAAGTCGGGTGCCCACATCTCAAACTCACGCTCCCAGTTGATGATGGTGGAAAGTGGGGCGCTCACCAGGAATGGACCTTTTGAGTGGCCCTGATTTGGAAAAACGAGATGCGGAGCCTCAGGAGAGGCGAGAGAACCTTCTTCCAAAGGCTTCTGAGCATGTCCAGGGTAGACCCAGAGAGACTTACCTCTTTGTAAAGGGAATAAAGGTACACTATGGTCTGGACAGTCTTCCCTAAGCCCATCTCGTCAGCCAAGATCGTGTCCGTCCCCTGCGCCCAAGAAAATCGCAGCCAGTTGAGCCCTTCCAGTTGGTAAGGGTGTAGCGTTCCACCCGTTGCGTCGATGTACCACGGCTGCCTGTCAAATTTTACTGTCGGCTACAAAGATGGAAAAGAAACAAGAGGAATTACTCTGATGGTGATTATCATTATTGTTATTATTATCCTGCTATTCCTCTGCCTAGCTATTAATAAGAGCATTTTTCATCAATCCATTCTTTTTTCTAAAACTGGAATCTACAAGCTCTGGTCTGTTCAAACTCCAGCCAAATTATCCATGCTAGCAGATCCCCGAATATTATTTAAAATCGTGCATGATAAAGCATGGGAAGATGAGTGGGTGCCAATAATCTCATAAAATGAAATAAAAATGAATGTATTCCCCCTCCCCCAAATTAACACATTCAGTGCTTAAAATCCCAGGATTTTGATATTCCCCCCCGCCAGGACTTTCAAAATTTTGTGGCCCCAGACGAGAGATACCCCAACATCATCGGGCCTGCAACAGTCAGCTACTAGAGTTGGTGATCTGCAAAAGCAGACTTTCCCTTGCTTGCCCAATTCCTAATGGATCCCCAGAAACTGAGGTGAATAAAACTTTACTGAGTTTTTTTTCCCCCATGCACATAAAAATAAATAATGCAAAAGAGCAAGAGAATAGTTTCCATCAGAAGATAGGGGAAATCCTGCCCATTCTGCAGAATTCCAGCAGAGTGCAGAGGTGGATGTTTTGGGCACGAAGGGCCTCCTAAAGTCACACCATGCTTGGGTCCAAAACGTACATCAACATGCGGCGTTTCAGAACGACCTTCCAGTTTTTTCTTGTGAGATTCTTCCTCCTCACTCTTGGTTGACCTTCTGGAGTACGACTCACTCTCTTCTCCCAGCATCATTGCTCTGAAAAGACCCAAATACAAAGGACACAGGGTGTAAACAATGCCCCTGATCAGACCCCAACTGTCTGGAGTCGGAGGTGTGTTTGCAATTTTAAACACCCACTGCCGGTGCCTTGGAAATGGCCATGGGCAAAGCACAAAACGGCAATTATGCAAAATACCAATTTACAAAACTACTCTGCATTCTGCCACATGCTTTCTCCCTGTAATGGTATGTGGGAAAGACCTTGGGAGACAGGGCAAAGAGACTCAAGCAAGGGAACAATCAGATAAGAGAGGGCATAGCCCACAGCTCCATAATGGGTAGGTAGAGAAAGAGGCTCAGAAGGGACCCTCCCTAGTTTCTCAGGCCATAAAGGAGATTGGGGAAGAACTGTACTTTCACTTGCAAGATTCTGTTAATGCAGCTTTACAATAAAGTAGTATTAACTCATCTGGTCGCGTTTTCTGTTTGGGAAGGCTGACACTCCCTCACTTCCCACCCACTGCCTTGTCTTTTGTCTTCTTCGGGGAGGTGGGGAGACTGCAAAGCAAAGCATTCAGTTGCAGCCCATTCTTCTAAAATGGCTATAAGGGCCCCTCAAGACCTTCTTTAAAATAAACATGATGGTGGAGACTCATGAAAAGGAAACTCATAAAAAGGTGGAAACTCATAAAAAGGAGATATTTGCCACATGGACATTCAGACATTTCATGTGTTGGTCTCCCCAAACGACCTTCATTGAATGCCCCACCCAGCTCAAGACCATACCTGTGGCTCCAATAAAGCTGTTTGAAGTTCTCGTAGTAAGGTATATCGATGGCGTCCACCTCCCAGGTGCTCTGGTCATAGGACAAATCCTTCCACTTGATCAGGTAATGAACATCTCTCTTCTTGTCAAAACTGAGGAGCAGAAGAAGAGACAGGGAGGTATCAAAGCTGGCTGAGGCATAAACCTGTGCCCCCTGACCTGCAATTTGTATTGGATGGTGCCTCCACTATTCTGAAAAGTAATGGAGAATTATTTCAAATCCCACAGAAGACAGGGAAACATGACTGGTTGAGGTCACATCTTACACCACAGGCCTTTGAACATCCATTGTTCAGTCACCCACGTAAGATATCCAGGCGGGTTTTCCAGAAGGATCTGATTATTCTGGACTACAGATGCCTGATCTGAGTTTATGACAAGTGACTTCTCACACCCAAGAAAGCAAGGTCCTGAGGGATTAGAAAATCAATGGCTACCCAGATCCCACCTCTTCTTTTGATGACCATCCCCAATAGCAGACGTGGGGGGGCATGCAATCTCCCATATTGGCTAACTGATTGCCTTCCCCACCAGACCAGGGAAATATTGTGTTCCGGTTCCTCTATTAGCCATATTAAAGAGGCTGGGGTGAAAAAGGGTGTCTGGGGACCCAGTGAACTTCTGGAGCCATGGGTGGGTTCGAACATGAGTCTCGTGAAGAATGATAGCCACTACACCACACTCTCCCTTGGGATCTGTTGGCTCTGTGTGGTTTTCAGACATCAGCACATTAATCAGTCTACAATTTGCCCAATTCTTTTTCCCTACGTCGTCCAACTAGGGGCCCCTTCACACCGACAAGCCTCTTTAGAAGAGCACAAGGATTTCCAGATTCACCTGTGGTTGAGGATACGGTGAATCATCATCCATTCGGGCTTTATGCCATAGCGGTAATACTTCTCCTCCATCTTGGCATACTGGGGGTCTTTGCTCCGCCGCTTCTCGAGCTTGCCGTCCTCATCGCCAGAGTCGTAGTCAAAAGCGGGCGGGTTGTCCATGTCGTTCTTCCTTTGGTAGTTGCGGTACATCACAGTGTGATACAGCTCCAGCTGGAAGAGGATGTAGTAGAGAGGGCAAGTCAGCCCACTGGGCCTCCAGTCTCCAAATCTCCAGCCGACAGGACCAGCGGCCCTTCCCCAACCGCTCACTCACCTGCAATTCCTTTACCCACGAGCAGTGCCAGTAGGACAGCCCAGCCCATTTCACAAAGAATTCTCGCTCTGGGATGCCTCTCAGGGGCTTGGGAGGTGGGGTTGCCAACTGGGGATCCACCGTGGGCACAGTGGCCTCCAATGGGGCTGGGGGCTCCTGCCAGATCCAGTGAAGGATGCGCTGAACTCTCCCTTTTAATGGTGGACACTGAGAAAAGCCGAACAATTTGCATCACTAAAACCCCATTCAGGGTCTCCTAGTCAAAAAGCTAATCTTTTTATGGTCTTTTTGGCACAGCACTCCATCTTTGGAACTCCTTCCTCAGAGGGGTCCGCCTGGCACCGTCCTTATCTTTTCAATGACCAATTAAAATTGCTTGGAGGCCCTTAAACATACAGTGAGACTTTAAGCAGACAAGTGACCTCCTCTGATTCTCTTCCCCATATTATTTCAATTTGGGTGTGCAGAACAGCTATATTTTTAAGGGGGGCTTGGCTGACATATGCATTTCACACCCAAATAAATCAAGAGCCGAAAACAGTACAGCCTGGAGGAACGAATGGGCTAAAATTAGGTGACCTGCTAACCACCTTCAAGGGGTTGGTTTCAAGGAATAACAGGAGACCGTGTGTGTGGAAGGGTGGCCACATGTGATTGCAAGGGTGGGAAAGGGAAAGGAAGGTGGAAAGCATGAAGAAAGAAGGGAGTGTTCTCCAGTGGGGAGGGGGGAAAGGACAAGTGCTACATATCCAGTAATGTGTGAAGGAATGTAAAGCTTGGGAATAGGGAAGGAATGAGCATTAAGGGAAAACTTTCAGAAAAGATGACTGAGCCCCAAGAAAGAGGAAAGTGTGAGAAAGAAATTCAAAATAACCCCTCCTTGATTTTGTTTGGTATAAGACGAGGTAAACATGGACAGGCTTTCAGGACCATTGTTTTAACCTGCTAACAATGAACAGCATTGCAGGAATCCTGGCCGTGCCCAGCTGACCTCATACGGTTGACCCGTTGGGAAGTCCCACAGTGCCAATCTGGGGACACCACTTGCAAGTCCGGAACACACAGATGAAGTTCTGAGGCCGGTGCTAGAAGCCCAATTCGGAAGGCAAAGGGGCTGGAGGGTGCGAGGAAGACAGGTAGACACTCACTGTACAGCGAGGACACAACCATTCACCGTTGGGGATTTCTGGCAGAGGAGGATTAAGGCAGTGCATGTGATAGGAGCAGGGACAAGTGTCGCAGCACAGTAGCTCTCCGCCATCCTTGCACACTCGACAGAACTCCATGTGGTCATCCTCCTCTTCGCCCATCTCCTCCTCTTCCTCCACCTCATCTTTTGGCTCCCACTGAATGCCCTCCTTCTCCTGACCAAGAGAAAGGCAGAGTTGAAACCCACAGTGCCCCTTTGCCCTGCCACCAGCCCCTCCGCCCAGCTGGCCAAGTAATTTATTGTGCAAAGTTTGATCACCAACTTTAATGGTCTGTGGGAACGACCTTGGGAGACAAGAGAAGAGCCGCAGACTAGGGAACAGTCAGATAAGAGGCAGTTGAGCCTGCAGAAGGAGTGGGAGTGTGGAAAGCATCTCAGAAGGGACCCTCCCTAGTTTCTTGGGCTGTAAAGGCAAGGGGGGAGAGAGGTACTTTCAGACTTCCAAGGATCTGTTAATGTAGCCTTACAATAAAGTTACAGCTAGAACTTCTGGGTGCACTTCTTATCTGGACTACCTTGCAAAGCTGACAGGAGCTGAACAGAGACAAATCTGGAGCCCAGTTCCATTTTGCACCCTGGTACACTAGGAGGAAACTGTCTGAACAAGGAACAATCCTGGGAAGTGTAGTGGTCTGTGGGAATGACCTTGGGAGACAGGAGGAAGAGCCATAGACTAAACAACGATCAGATAAGAGGCAGCTGAGCCCACAAAAAGATGGGGTCTGGGAAGCATCACAAAAGGGACCCTCCCTAGTTTATTGGACTATAAAGGAGAGGCGGGGAGGGGAGAGGTCCTTTCAGACTTGCAAGATTCTCTTAATGCAACCTTACAATAAAGGTAATGTTAGTACCCATGGTGTGTCCTTCTGATCTGGACTACCTCAAAGGGTTGCCATCAATTTCCCAGAATTTCTGCACTGAAAGGATAGGAAATGCAGGGGTCTCAGGCAAGCCCCCTTTTCCAAACCCAGGAATAAAAAGTTCCCCCTTAACTTTAAGTCCATTTTTAGAAGTGGGGAGGCAAAGCAGAAAACTCCCAACCTCTCCAAAACTTGGGGTAGTCTTTCCTGGCACCTGTCTGCCATGCAATTAGGTGAACATTCTTGGAAAGAAAATGCAGGCGATGGAGGGATCTGTGCTGAGACTGAGAAACAAGCACATGCTATGGGGTGGGGTGGGGGGCAATGCACATTTAAAGCAAGATATCAGTTTTAAAATGTGAAGCAGAATTTGAAGCAAAAGGAACCAAGAAAGAAAAGAAAATCTGATTGGCTTTTACCAAAAATTTAGGTGGCCTCTTTTACTGCCCCCACCCAAAAAAAACTTTTAGGAAAATGAATGGAGCTCTCCCACTGATTAAGTTTTTATGGTTTTAACAGTTGGATTGTTTTTAATTATTTTTGTGGTTATTTGGGGGTTGATTTTGCGTTGTTTTCTGGATTTTTAACTTTGTAAGCTGCCCAGAGTCACAGTAATGAGACGGGTAGCTATATAAATGTAAGAAATAAAGTAAATAACCCCTAATGGAGGACAGTTTGGAATAGCATGATGGGAAGTTTTGCTGGGAAACATGGCTTGTTTGTGGTTCCTGCCTAACTCAGCCACCAACAATCCTTACACAGTGCGGGCAGCTCCACGTGCCTTCCGGCGCCTTCTCCAGCTCCGGATCCAGACAGACTAGGTGATAAGCTCGTGGACAGGTGTCGCAAAGAATGATCTCCCCTCCCTGCTGACACACCTCACAGTAGTCTTGGTGGTCAGTTTCGTATCCATCACCATCTTCAACTGGAAGACAGAAGCCGGGGAACGTGTAACGGTATGTGGGAAAGACCTTGGGAGACGGGGCAAAGAGATGCTGCCTAGGGAACGGTCAGATAAGAGAGGGCAAAGCCCGCAGCTACATAATGGAAGGGGAAAGAGGCTCAGAAGGGACCCTCCCTAGTTTCTCAGACTGTAAAGGGGACTGGGGAGAATTGTACTTTCAGATTTGCAAGATTCTGTCAATGCAGCTTTACAATAAAGTAGAATTAGCTTATCTGGTCATGTTTCCTGTCTGGTCTACCTGGGAAGGCTGACAGGCGGGACATGGGAGAATTGCTCTCAGGTTTGAGTTCTGGAGCAAAGGATCTGCTTCCATCGGAGCCTTTAAATTAGGGGTCCCCCACTCTGCAGGAGCGAGTGGCCAGTTTGGACTTTGGGGACTTGTTACCGGCACGCTCCCAAAATAGTAGCCGAGTGGGCGTGGCCAATCAGGTGGCCGAGAGGTTT